GTTCACCTTGGGATGCAGCATCTTCGCCAGCGGCCAGCAGACACCGACGCTGCTCTGAACAGAGCCACATCAGAAGGCAGTAGGAGCAAGCCTGGCTCGCTGCCTGGGACACACACAGCTAACTGGTGCTCAGCCACGGCAAGCCCCCAGAACGCCCAGTAGCTGATGCCTGGGGAGCAGTCAGGTGAGGAAAATCCCCATCCCAGGCACAAGCCAAATCACCAAGCAGAAGCCTGCCAAGGTCAAGGAGCCTCTCTCACTCACCTATTGCCCCTGAGCCCTGCACATCGCACAGCTAGCCTTGGCATGGAGACAGGCCGTGCACCGAACAGCTCTGTTCTCCTGCTTGTTATCCATGCAAGAGGATGAAGATGTTGCCACGAAGGCAACAGATGTGTTAGCACTTGGCAAGATCAGACTGGGGAACCAAACCTGTCCAAAGCCATGTGCAGGCAGCGTTTTCCTAGGTCTCCCAGTGAGCAGGCAGCATGTGCACGGAGATGCTGAAGATGTTCTTGAGCATCCTTAAGGCTGGCAGGCAAGCTGGGCCTGAGCACAGAGCAACGACTACCACTGCAATAGCGTCCAGCTATGGGGGTTTCCAGACCTACCTCCAGGATCGGGCACATGGCATCTGCTGTGGTACCTCCCAGCACCTTGCAGAACTTGTAGAAGGACTCCAGGTAAGCCTGGAAGAGATAGGGCAGATGAGCACTCTTCCACACAGACTCATCCACCGCCCCACAGGGCCATGCAGCAGAGGACAGACGGCAAGCAGGGATGTTCCCAGCCGCTTTGTAAGACAGCGCAGGCGCTCTCACCCCACATGAACTTGGACGCCAAGCCCACACAGGGGACACAGCGCTTTCCCAGGAGCTGGAGACATGCAGGGTTGCGGTTGTTCAAGCAACTGCATGAGCTTACTGCAGGCAAGATCGCCAGGCAGCAAGGTTAAAGTCTGTTTTGCTCTTCTGAGTCGTCTAACTCCAAAGCATTCAGTGAAGTCTCACATGGTTTCCTGACCCCGCTCTGGCCTCTGCAAACATGCCAAGCCACACAACTATAGCTGCAAGACCTACGCTCAGAAAGTACCGCTGTGTAAGCAGAGTCAAGAGATGAGACAGGACATCTGTGAAGGAAACTAGCCATTCTCTGTAATTCTCTTTTCACACTGCAGCCGCTTGGTCTCCACCCCAACTGGAGCACTGCAGAAAACACATAAGGCTAGGCACAGCTACGCTGCCTCCAGGAAACGTAATCCTTTGTGGAGATGTACTGTAATCCAGCTGGAAGATGACTGTATCTCCCAGGGGGAGCCCGTGAAGGCAGTGCATGGCTAAAAATGCTGTTCAGCAAAAACTTTCTCAGAAGAAGCCATCATGTGATAAAATACCTCCCTGGACAGAGAGCTGCAACCAGAATCAGTTCAAAGGGACGAAATAAAATGACGCTGAGACATCACAAATCTCTGCTTTGCCACAACAACTCCAGGAGTGAAGATGGACCAAGAATGCACGTGTTGGACACCCCCAGCTTCTGCACTAGGAAATCACCTATATTACTGTGCTGTGTAAATATTTGTTACCACACAGTGCAAGAGGACATTGCTGGGTGAGCACCACACATCAAAGAAACATCCTCTCCAGCCCTTGCCACTGCTCAAGTGGAAGAGAGCACAGAGCATCAGTCTGCAGAGTTACCACAGGAACAAGGACACAGGTAATGGACTTTGCTTGAAGCCCACACAAGAGGGGTCCTGGATAAGAGGTTCGGTCACTACCTCCACCCTTCTCAGGATTTATGCACAAACTTAAGGTAATAGGTAAACTCCAGTATCCAGCACTGAATAAGGATCTGGTACCACAGACACCACAGAAATCCCGACTAGAACAGCCACACTGGGTACTCTCCCCTACAGACCTCTCTGCAGATGACAGCAATTTACAGAAACTCTCCAGTGTCCTGAAACTCTTATCCCAGAACTGGTGCCGTCTTCGCATTTAATAATCCTTAACGGACTTCTGATTCCACAAACCCACTCATTTGATCTCTGCCTCCAGCTAGCCTCGTTTATCTGTCACCTCCACCCTGAAGGCGGATCTGTGCCCTGCCCATCCCTGTTGACTTTTCTAGCACTATCTGCTGTTACAACCGCAGCTTGGATTCACTCCTCTTCCAGGTGAGGAATCCCAACTGGTCTTGTAGTTTCCCATACAGAAGTCATTGTACCCAAACCTTTAAACGTGTCCTTCTTAGCAACTTCTTCTGTTCTGCTGTTCCTATTTGGAGATAAGAGGAAAGAGGAACAAGACAGGGTTCAGGACAAACCACGACAGATGTACGCAGCAGCACAGTGGTATTTGTGCAGCTCTCTCCTACTCTAGGAACAGCTTGCCTTGTAGAGATGCTTGCTTAGGTCAGTCATAACCCAAGATTTCATTCAGTAGTAGAAAAAAACAAGGAGACCCGAGGGTCTGTGCAAGCAGAGCCAGGATTACCTCCTTGCCTCTCCCATACATCACTCCACATTTATCCACACTGATTTGCCTGCTATATGTTATTGTCCAGTTACAAAGCTCTTTCAGCTGGTTCCTACAAGGTGGTCACCAGCAAAAGCCAACAGTCAGCCAGCTTCACTTCAACATATCCATTAAAGATGTGGAACAAAGGGAGTAAGCGTTGAAGATAACAATGCCAGCACACCTCTGTTGAAGGACTCCACTGCTGACCGCTTACTTTTAACCTCTGCCACCCGTCTTAATCATACTTCCATTCAAGAACCTGCTCACTTGTCATTGCTAACAAGACCCTTTGTAATCGCTTTCCTCCTATGAATTCTGCCCAAACATTCTGTCTACATGCTCACAGATTCCTTCAAAAAACCTCCAGTAGGTCTTGGAGGTAGCACGTGCCCTTCCTAAGCCAGCTTCTCCTGGACACAGGCATCCACCCCAGGCACCCTCAGCGCAGCCCTGTGCAGATTTCAGACGTGATTTTATTTCCCTCATTTGGCTGCGCAGACCATCTGCAGCGTATTATAGATTTTCCAGTCCCTGGGGAGAGAGGCAGCTTCATGTGAGAGTCTGTAAGCAGCAGTTACCTTTTCCACCCTTGCATCCCAGTGATTCGTTACTGATGGAGCCCCTGCGCTCCGCAGGGGCTGCTTTTTAGCAAGACCCAGTCCCAGCACATGCCAAGGGATAGCAGGTATCTGCGCTTCAGTTTGGGGGCAGGAAGAGCAGAATGCAAAGCAGTATCAGGCTTCAAAAAGGAGATGGCAGCTGGGACCCGAGGAGATGCGTCCCCCCAGCCTGTTTGCCCTGTGCTCACTGCCTTCCCCCAGCTGCCTTGTCTCAACACAGAGGTCTGCACCCTGCAAAGGTGCAGGTATTTATGTGTACAGGCATACCTCCCCCCATTACAGCAAAAGACGAGTACACGCTAGAGGCCACACGCAGCTGGGCATGACTGTCGACACACAGCTCCTTCTCCCCTCCCTTTGCCTCCTTCCCTTCACGCCTGACCTGTTCTCCGCCTCTCCAAACAGGCCACGGCTTCCTTGGGAAGCAGAGGTCACGCTGACTGCAGGCTGGCTGCAACCAGCCAAAACAAGGTTGGCAGATACAATCTGCATCCCACCCTTCATCCAGAGAGTCGAGATGGAGCGATAGCCACAGCCTGCATATAAACACATGCTTTGATACTGCCAGCTAAAACCAGAACAGGCCTGCTGAGGAGACAACAGCTCCCTGTGCAGGCTCAGGACAAGGAAAGCCTTAGCCCCCCCACATCCCTATGCCTGCAGGACTCCTCCACCCCGGCTGCACCTTTTACACTGCTCTACCCAGAGGATCTAACTCCAATCACAGCCACTGAAGGCTCGAGCAGACTGCTGGAGGCTCTTCTGGAAGAGCTCAAGACAGAGACAAGCCCATGGAAGTTCTTCAACCAAGTGTGCCAATCTAGGCACTTTAGCCCTTTGAATGCAGTAAACTACATGTCTAAACTCATGGGGTTAAGGAGCAGCCTTCTCCTGCCTGCCTGGGGCCTGAGGAAATGTATTCAAAGGCAGGACCTCTGCAAAATCTCTTGTACAGACTCGACAGCGCCAAAAAAAAAAAAAAAAAAAAAA